GGGGATTATTTGTTTCAGATTGATTGTGTGAATCCGATAATTTCATCGGCTCTCAATTTATTTCTGAAATATTAATTCAATTTAATTGAATGTATATTAGATAGTAGTTCAACATCTTAACACTCGGACCGGGAAGGCGCTTTGTATTTAAAGTCTTAAAATTGGAAAATTTTCCAAAATAAAATAAATCTTACATTTGGGGGATCGAGCCTAATACATGTTTTCGTCTCTGAGCTCAGATGGTTATGTAGGAAACGGAATAAAAATGTCGATAATTAATTGATTGAATTTTTCTGCATGATATTAACTCAGAGGGCGTAAGCATCATATATATTGGAAATGAAAACCTGTAATATCGACCTTGATTAAATTCTGCCGATTAAGTTTCTTCACTCCAGCATTCCCTTTAAGGATTACAAATTTTATTTATAAGACATTTATAATAATTATATTTGAAATTAATTACTTCAAATTGATAAAAAACGCACCTTAGTGGGATTCGAACCTGGGACTTCTGAATTATGAATCTTCTACGTTACCCGCTACATCACTTGTTCAATTGGTAAATGTGTTATTCATTCTCTACTTCAATTACAACCAGCTAAACTAGTAACGAAATTATATAGATATAATAAAAATATCATCATTTGACAAATATAATAAAATATAAACAATTTACATTACTATGAGACAACATTAGGTATGTTTCGGATAATCTAATCTCGCTTGACTGATATCGGGCGCCGTGATTAATCTAATATTCGAGCTATGCTCGACTTGATTTGCGAATGTTCAAATCGATCATTCATTTTATTTCTAATCAAAGAGGAACAAAAGAACATAGCTCAATTATTTTTATGTTACATTTTAGTTGGATTAAAACGAAAAATTTTCTACTTATAATTTTGAATAATTTAAATAGCATTTATAGTCCATTTCTAAATCAAAATTTTTTTTATCCAATTAGATTGAAAAACTGCATTTCATATTCAGAATATTGAATTGAACAGTATTCACGTTGCACAGAAAAAGCTAATACAATATTATTTTAGATTGAAAGGCATAAAGATATGCTGTATGCAATTCCTATAAATGAATAAAACTGCATTCAGGATTAAAAAGGCATAAACATTTGCTTTATGCAATTCCTATAAATGAATAAAAATGCATTTAGGATTGAACAGGATTTATTTTAACATTCATGAATCCGTATTTCTGAAAATCTAAATCCATTTTAATCCATTTCAACCCATTCTCGTTTTCTGGTAAATATTTTTGATTTATAGTTTACGAATGTAACATGATTATACGAACCAAATATCGATTTATCATCTACAAAAGTGGACATATGTACCCTCAGAAAAGTGAATCTTGTTATTTAGTTTACATCCACTTTTTCAGAGGGCAATAGTGCGCGGCAGCATTTTGTAATTATAGGTTTTAAGTCGTCATGTATGTATTCTTTCAGGTTTCTCTCTGATAATATCGACTATATACTTGATCGATTAGTTTCTAGTCGCTTACGAGATGGCACCACATTTAGCTTTTAATCGGAGGCGAACGCAAGCGGCTGTGTCAATCAGTCTCAGATTTCTTCACAGTAAACAATATGGCCGGTTCGTTGTGGTGCGCGTGTTATGTCGTCCTCGCCGTATTCGCCAAGTACCAACGTCCGTGTTGCGAGCGTGGTTAGCCATTCACGGTAAGTGTAAATCCGAGATTGCGAAATACGTCAAATAGCATTGGAAGACATTGGAACCGCGACCGAGACGCACGGTTCCGCGTAACGCGTGCGCGATCACCGATGATTTCGGCCGAGACGAACGTTTGTTTCCCGAGCCAGAGAAAAAAATGAGATATCTCCTTTGAGTACTCCTCATCGTGTCCGGAGTCTGTCAACGTCTATGTCACGACGATAACAGGTGTCGCTGGATCGTACGTGTAAGCGCACTCGCGTCCACATGTCTAGCGGATATAAGCGACGTCGACATCTCAGTGCATGCTTACCGCAAAATTCGCAGCCTCTTCTATATCAATTTATCTTTGACAGGCGGACCGTCTGCTTACGATTTCGTGACTCCTACAAACTTGGCCGCGAGCCCCGCTTTTTGCACACCGTGACAACGCGCGAGACGCGGCCAACTCGCGTGGCCGCCGAAGCAACAGGTTTTTTGTACCAAGAGACCGCGCGGCGACGACCTCTGGTTCTTCTGCGAGATCCACGTCTTCGTGATGATCGAGAGTCGAGATTCTTAATCGAGATATTTTTTCAACATCATCGAATTACGATAGATCTCGAGACATGAAAAATGCACTGGACTGACAAAAAATTTTTTTAACGATCTTAAGATTGTATGGAATTGAATTGACTTGTTGAGTGCATATCAAATAATCATATATCCATCTCGGGAATAAGGACTTGATATACGATCGTGAAGAGATTTGAAATGAGATGATTTCGAAATTATAGAGAGGTGGTTTTATGGAGAGTATACGTCGTGATCGCAGAAAAAAGTATCACATGGGGGAAGCAGCAAAAATTTGCGCTATGACGCAAAACACATAAGTGCATGATGCACACAACAATGCTTGTTTCTACCAACGAAAATTAACTTTAAACTTGATTTAACTTATCTTTTTTTAGATTTAAAAATTAAAAAAGGATACATTAAATCGAGATTAAACTTAATCTATATTAGTAGAAGTGGCTAAGAGAAATAATTCTCTTTGACTATGTTTCACTTCAAACTCACACTTTGTCACGCGTTATAATACATATAGTATAAATATATATGCGCGCGCGCGTGCGTATTTGCAGAAGTACCCTGAAAATAGCAGATCCAATCAGAGTAGAGAATACTATTCACTCTACTTTCTCGATTGTTTCTGGAGAGAGAGGAACAAAAAGTTTCAAAACTTAATATTTTCTATTTACGAATTTGATTATATTACATTAAATTATATTACATTAAATTCATAATGTCAAATTATATCCAACTTAAATTATTTTTAATCATTTCTAGATCGCCACTGCTCCTACTCATAATATAATTAATTTAAATAAAACAATAAATTTTCTCAAGAAATATATCAAATTTGACTCAAATGTAATTTATTGCTAAACAAATACGTCAATATGAATGCTATTTACTCTGAAACTAAACAATTCAACTACAGAAATGTATTGGAAGTGATTGTTTTTTTAATCATATATATTTTATAATCAAATAATAAATTTGAATACATTTGAAAATTAAAAATAATAAAATGTCATTTAGCTTAAGAAATGGGTTTAAAGAGTGATGGCAAATTTCGCCTATTTTTTGGACCTCGAATTTCAAATTTTTTTTATGGCAAATAGTACTATTAGATGAAACATTAATCTCAATAAAATTTCAAAATAAACATAGGCACGGTTCCGGAGATACAAGGAGATGAAATCCAGTTAGGATGTATTGCATAAGGAAGAATATGTGGCTGAAGTTCATTGGTAATATTGAGGGTATATTCTGTCGAATGGATCATCTGCGATTCATTGTTCAGAGAACGATCTACTATTCATCGCTATTTTATTTATGAGGGGGCGTGCTTTATAAAGTGCCTTGAAAATACATTCCCTATTAATCACTTAAAACCGTTATTCTTATTTGCGTGGATCAAACTCATCGGAATTGCGAGTCGGAAATAAGAATAGGTTCGCTTCGGAGAGAGAGAGAGGCGAAGGTTTATAAAAATAAAAGAACGGTAGGTGTTTACTTTGTTCACAAATAAGATCTCGTTTATTTGGAAATTAATATGAAATAAAGAGTACAAGAGTGTGCGTGTGTGTATGCATGTTGTGTGTGTAAATGCGCGAGTGTGTATTAGTCACAAAACAATCCTGCATACTGAAGGTAAGGGGATTTACATTTAAAAAAATACCCCTGATCCGTGAGAGGCGGCGTCAAGTGTCACTTCAACTCCATCTATCTCGGGGAATTTTCATGCTAGATGAAAATTAAGGTCATATTTGAATCCAGCGTAAAAAATCCATAAGAAACTATATGTTTCACTTCGTTAAATATACATATATTTTATTCCTTGGTGTAAACACTTGAAGAATTTCGTGTACTTTCATGGATTATGAGAAACCATCACTTTCATCCCTTTATATCTCCGGAACCGTGTCTATGCTCGTCTTAAAACTTCTCTAGGATTAATGTTACATCATATACTATTTGGCATAAAAAAAGTTTGAAATTCAAGGTCCAAAAAATGGTCGAAAAAACAGGTCTTTTTGCCATTACTCTTTAATATCTTTAATATCTGACAATGTAGCTCAAGTACATATTACAATAAGATAGTACACATTAAAAGTGCGTATTAAAAATTAGCAAAATTAAATATAAAAACATATACAAATACTTTAAATACTCAATAATGATACTATCACGATATTTAACACATTGTACAATTATTTCATTATCAAAACTGATTATATTATGTCACTATTTGAATACTTTATAGCAGGCTTCAATGTATACTAATCCAGTGGAATGACCTTGATGTGTTCTCTCTGTAATTCAAATGAGCATAAGAATGCAATTAGAGGTAATGTTATACAACAAGAGAAAATGTATTATTGCATGAGTAATAGGCATCATCGTGTCGTTAACTTCCATATTAATTAATTTGTTCTAATTTGCGAGATGTACATTTTATATAGATATGGTTGAAAATATACTTTTCACTGTATTTATGCGTAATAAAACGAAGTTTTTTGGCGATAATTACTGCAGCATTGCGTGATTATCTTTCTTCTTCATTCTCGCGATGATTGTGTATTCATAATATTGATTTTCGTTCTATTGTATTAAAGCGACGATGTTTGATGCACTGAAAAAATAATTTACTAAATTTTTATCAAAATTTGTTTAGAGATAGTACTAACTAAACATTTACTTATAGTAAATAAATATTTACTAAATGAAAAAATAATACAATTAAATCTAATTAATAGATCTCATATTCATTAGTTATACTCATTAGTTAGTACTATATAATTCAAACAAATATTTATTAAAATTTAGTGAGTTTTTTTAGTGTACGTTTTCCTTGACGTCGCCTTTCGAATATGTACATAGAAACATTTTTCACGTAACTCTGTTACTTCATAAATCTAAATGAGCATTGCAGATCCGTTTCTCAATTTTACTCCCTCATAATGATACTTTCTTGCGAGGAGCAGCAGCAATGATCGCGAAAGAGAACTTTTCAGGAAAAATCGTATTGCGTGCGTGCGTGCGTGCGTGCGTGCGTGCGTGCGTGCGTGCGTGCGTGCGTGCGTGCGTGCGTGCGTGCGTGCGTGCGTGGCACAATTATTGCTTAGACCAATGTTAAAAGCTTCTCATTAATTGTTTCAATTATCTCAAAAGTACATGCGTTGCATCAACATCCTTTAGCGAAAACATTGATAAATCGAAGACACAGTAGATGCATGGTATTAGTGCCATTTATATCATACCCGCGTGAAATATCGAGCATTTAAAAAATACTCCCATGTTATTTTTCAATCTTTAATGGACTTTTTACAATAAGTCATTAAGCCATAATCATACTAGTGATTACTGATTGGATTACGATTGTGATTAGCGATTGTCGATTACTTTTTAACCATACGGAGCTAAACAGTCGGGGATTGCTTTATTTAAAAATTAATTATTATTCACAATCGCAATCCAATCGGTAATCGCTGGTTTGATTACAGCTTTAGACACCATTTATATCACAGTGATAAGTATAAGTCATAAATAAATTTTAGGAAACTTGCATCCAGAATAAATCTTATTAGATCGTTGCGTCACAATATTTTAATCAATCAGAAGGATAGTAATTTTCAGAACAAATAACAAGATATTATGTTCGTATATTTGATTAGTCAGTCATTATGTAATTTATGTTTTAAATCTTAAGAAATGGAATTTAACCATGCCTTCGTGCAGTTTCTGATTGCTGACTTATTATTGACTTATAACACTACTGACTCACTTAAAATTACGGTGACCATACGTCCTTTATTATAAAGGACGATCTTTTATTTTAGGTAGCTGTTAAGCTATTCTTTAGATTTATTTGTTGCTTAGCTTCCTAATTGGACCGTTAGTATGTTGCGTCATTCGCGCAAAAAATGTTTTTTTTTTCTCGAATTGTCAACAGGTGTGACCGATGCGTTATTTTTGTTTAAAAAATGTATGATTTATATTTTTGCATTAAATTGCAAAAATAAGCAAGATGTGGGTTATGTGTGTTCTTTAAGTAAGAATAAAAAAAACAATAAGGAAAGAATATCCGTCATGCCTCACTTATATGTGATAAACATAGACTCTGTGTGAGATTGCGGCGGCGAAGAGGAACGTTTTCTATATATTCTTTGTATTTTATGTTTTTCACTTATATTTGTCTTTATTATTAATAATAATAATTTTTACATTAATAATAACTTAAACCAATAATAAATAGCCTCTTATCTGAATTTAACATCTTTTTTTTACATCCAAACGATTATCTACTGTCAAAATAAATACCTTTTTTTAAATGCGTGTAATCATACTATTTGTTTAAGTACAATAATCTCAAGAGTATTAGGGGCTAAAACTATATTTGAAAATATTATAAATTTAAAAAGTTATAATTTTTTTAAGTAAAAATACTCATTTTTCCGAA